GAGACATTGATTCTGTTCGGTGTCTTCTTTCGCCGTCTGCTTGAATTTGTCGGCGACCGTTCATCTTTCGCAATTTGACAGGTCAACGAACATTTTGCTTCTCATCTGTAAAGCTTCTAGCAATTACACAGCAACTTATAAACTGAGCCAAGGTAATTCCAGTTTCAATTACAAGACTGCAATTAATGACATACGGTCGGAAACAACGACGTGATTTGCCATCCAATAAACCTATATATCTTGCACAGTGTTAAATATAACCATGCTTTTTGTGTAATAAACGACTCGAACTACATGGATGTACACCAATCGCCCATTCAGAGAGTAGGCGGATGAAAACCTAATTCCAGCTGAAATCTGCCAATTTTGAGGTATTCCCACAAAGCGAATGATGTTCAGGTGTGATGCCGTTCATGCCCTGTCGCCCAGGTCTTCTTCGTGACTAGAAGTTCCCGCCGCTTCTTCTAACGTGGTCAAAATAACGTAGTTTTCGTTCCCGTATGTTTTGGAATGGCAATGATTGATGTCAAAATAGTTTTAAAACAATATCGATAAAATGCAGGGGCAAAAATAGTACAGAATAAATTATTATTTGCCTAAGTGTACGAACAAGAGGGAAACTGGGTGCAAAAATTCCGTATAAATAGCTGAAATTACGCGCATTTATCTTATTGTCAGTATTGCTAACAGCAAAAACACAAAACGTACCCTGCAGAGCAGATCACATTTAACATTATCCGGTACAGTGCTACCATATTTCAGTTCATTTTCAAGCTGCAGCAGTCGACTGGACACTTCGTCTACTTGCGCTATAGCAGCATTCAAGAAGTTCGACTCAGAGGAGGCGGCATTCATAAGAGCGGTATCCTTTTCATGTGACGCGCAGTTAAAGTAAACGCTGGGCACGCTAGGAGTGGCGTCAGTGGATGTACCTGCTAGATTTTGATCGAGGAGAATCTTCGAAAGTCGACAGAGACTATAAAGCGGTAGCGTAAAACGTTTTAACGGCACAACAAATAAACGGTAGCCAAGTACGCGGAGAGAAGTGAGACAGCCTCACGCATTTTCATGTTTAGTAAATCATTATCAGCGCGCTGACGTTCGGGACTCCGCGTGGAACTAAATGGCAAATGTAGAAGATACATCAGCAGAGCAAGAAAAAAGTCGATACCTTCCGTCCAATGTTATCTGTACTCGTGGAAAGCTTTTGGAAGTTTGGCTAGCCAAAATTGGCTCGGCCTCGACAACCTGTTCGTCCCGGTCAATATAGTCAAAACTGGAAACGGTTTCGTTCCACCAGCGACAAATGGCTGTATGTCTGAAAATCGAACGGCATGTGCAAAGCGCTGGACACCAAGCGAATGATGACAGGAGATATAAAAACGAGACAGAAAACAAAATGACAGCGATTACCGTGACTGACTCTTCTCACGATACAGCAAATCAGATGGTGCTGATAATGCCGTTGACGAGGCCATCATAAACGAATCACATGATTCGCAGTTACGCTGACCTAAAATCCCCAACGAAGTTTTAAAGCGATTAATATAGTCCTCAACAGCAATTTTCAAGGCGGTGAATTCGTTGCATAGGACTTCAGAAACTTCTTCTGCGTGATGACTTAAACTTAATAAATTCATGACACAGTGGTCTAAGCACACGCATTAGATATCGCGAACGGCAGCGACCAACGTTTAAATACCTTCCTTCGCGCCCCTGAGTTGCAGTTGGTTACGTCTAGCACGGTGAACACTGCCTACTCCTCTGCTGCCGCCAGTGACATTGTAAGAGGATGACCATTTGGTGGTGAACCGTGAACAAGCATTCGCCTCCATATCGCTAGCAAATGTATTGCTTAATGCACCTGAAAAAGCCTTCGATGCAATTACGACGCAAAACAACACGAACGAGCCGAACGTCATCAATGATCGCTGAAGAACGGTCGCATGCGCAGTTTTCGAAAACACAGATCCAGCACTTTCGTCAGCACAACCACTAAAAGTTGACAAACGTGGATACTATCTAAAACGCAGCAGTCCGGGATGAACAACCTCCAGTCATTCTAAAAAACGAGAAAGAGGAGACGCAGCCTAGTGAGATTCAGGATCGCTTTATTTAAAGTAACGGTAAAGATAACATTTTCATCAAATTTGGGAAGTGCATGGAACGGTATTTATCAGATCTCAAGTGAATAATGCCATTTTTCATGTTTCATTCCTCACTTAACACCGCCAGGATTTTTTTCGGGCAAACCGGACTTGTAACTTACGGATAGATGGGAGATGGTCTGATGAACGGACTTCTTCATCCCTTCTTCTGAGTTTAAGGTGGTGAGGTTTTAGGAGGCGGGTGAGTGACATCGTAATTATGTTTGCAAAAACATCTTACCGCATATGTATGATACTTAAGTGCAAAGCATGTACACGAATAAACATAAAAACTTTTATATACTGTTATAGTCACGTAATTAAGAAACGAATGAAAATATCAAGGAGTATACATATGCAAAATATCCAATAGTCTGATCCAGAAGATATTCCCGCCTCATCATCAGCCTCATTTTAGAGCTATGCGTTTTTCCCTCATATTACGATTTCCGCAAACTAATTATTCGCCGAAGGACACCTGTAATGTGCTATCCAACGGTTTCCAGAAGACATGTATCGTGGAAAAGCTGTTAATGATGAAAAAACCACTTTGGTAGAACGAGTTCAAAGCGACTTGTCTACGTCAAGTCAAACATAAATCACTGATGGGACGCCCACACGAAACAATCTGGCCAAAAATGCTAGCGAAGTGCAAACCAAGGGGCACGCGCTGCTTCGACGTGTCATGGCTCACAGATCAGCACGATTCCAATACAGGCTGTATGTTAATTGAGCTTACTGAAGCAATCTTTGCGCACCGCGTCTTTAGCTGATCGCGTCGAGGCGAAGTCCGAGGACGAGAGAACGCCATTCTGGAGCCAACAGTTTTTCAAGTGCACCAGGTGAATGACCATCTGACGCGGTTGCAGATGCAGCACGCTCGTCTTGTACTCGACATCGCCGATAAACGACGGTAAGCACGCGCTGTCCTGGGCAACGATCTCAAAGCGTGTGCACCAGACGTTCGACGACACGACAGCCAACTTCCGTATCTGTGAAAATGTCATAGGGTAGGTCGCTTCAGTTAAACTAACTGGTTTTGCTCAAGCCATAATCATTGTACCTGCTTGCAAGTCGACGAACCATTGTGCGTGATCAACGACCGTAACTGACGCCTGCTGCGCCTCCAAAACGAGTCCCGCTGTAGAACTTCCTGCTTCGGCGTTGTAAGCGCACGCGAACTCGAAGAAAAGTCTGGAAACGACATGCAGTTTCAGCGGAAACAAATCCTCAACGAAAACATGCTCGACGAATCAAGTCAGAGTACAGCATTTGTTAACTTTTAAAACAAAACAGTTAAGTTTAACTTCACATATTATTCAAAGTTCTCAATGATTCAACAGTGAGATTTGCAATAACAATCGCTTCGAAAACGCTTAGTCGCGAATTCAGTTGGTCGCTACTACAGCTGGGTCGGCGAATATCGGTCGATCGAAATATATTCGGTTCATTTGTTGAAAAAAGTTAGAAAGCTACAGAGCACATCCCCAGACTGCGCAGAGTGAAACAACGCTCAGATATGAGTGTTTGCTGAAAAATAAACAACAAACCTGACAAACATACAACTTCCAACATGATAATACAAGTGAGATAAGGGGTGGTGACTTAGTGACTAGCAAGGTTGGCTGTAAAGAATACGTAGGGCCAGATGACAACACTGTCACGCGGTTGGCGAATACACGCTTCCATTACATAGTCATGTTGCCAAACATCAGGAAGTAACATTCGGTTCAAACCCTGTCAAAAACTGCTCTGTTATTGTTCTGAAACCGTTATCGGTATTTCTGTTTAAAGGGTGGCATTTGTGCTCACTTCCTCAGTTATCAGGCAGGTCAAGTCTACTAGCTGCCGTAAGGCGCACGCACCTGACTGCAAGTTGCTGAAGTCATGGCCACAACTTAATGTTGTTCCCATCATTATTGTTTGAAGGCCGCAGATCAATGGTTAGGGGAACGAAATGAGGCAAAAGGTTTCAATCATAGATCAGAGCTTCGAACAACATCGACAATGTCCAGTATCAAAATCATGTGCTGCAATCATAGAGACTGCAATAATAAAAAGTACAAATGTTAACCGAAACACCAAAGAATCATTAGAATTTCTCGACCTATTTTCTGCCCTCACTCTTTAAGATTTCCTTCTTGCCACATGCAGCTGCTTTTAGCATGTGTCGAATACAGTTCGAGCATCAGAGCTGCTCAGACTATTGATACATGGCCTGAGTGAAATGGCGCCTCATGGAAGAGATCTCTGGACAGAGGAGTGGGCCTAAGTCTTGACTCCTCTATCGTTTCAAGATGCCCTGAATCAAACAAGTAGTTCAATGTGGAGTAGGTTATTGCATTTTTCAATATAAGGTTTCCAGTTGCTTCCTGCAAGCTGTGACCAGCTGCGCAACCTTCCGGCTTGTGCCATCTGCTTCCTTGTGCCATCTACCTCCTTTCTACTGCCCCTGTGCGTCAAAGCACGACATCTAGATGCAGATACGGCTATCGAAGCACTATCGCGTATCCTGACAAGCCACAACAACATATGCACAAGAATATACTAAGACAAAAAGGTGATATTAAGTGTACGTAACAGAATACCTACAGAACTGTCACAGAGTCAAAATGTCGAAATCTGCACAAGTCAAAATGCGTATAGCAGACTCTACATAAGCGCTGGTTATTGAAAACACGGAAGAGGCGTCAGAACAGATGTTCGAAACAACCGTTTATATCAGTCTTGCTCATGACTAGCATGAATTGGCTGCTGTTGATGTGATCATCAGGTTGAAACGTTTGTAAAATCAGAACGTCTTTGAACTATACTGTCCGCTGTATTCGCCGCGTTGCAACAATTTTGCTATAAGGCTCAAGCTAATGCATCGTAGAACGAACAATTCCGCTCCGCAAGAGAACCAGCCTCCCCCTCGTTCTTTCACATTGTATGCTTGGCTCACGATTGGCATATGCTGTTTCGGCTCTCAAACAAGAAGTTCGCAGGCTAGAGTAAATGGTTTATGGTCAACCAGTTTGAACAATAGTGCTGGTGATGCTGCTATTTAACCCTAATTATGCATCGATGTCAACGGCAGTTGCATACAGTTCAACCGTCGTTTTGATACATCGTTAGAACAACTGTATCCACGCCGTATTAACACTGTCCTGGCCGAGGAAAAGTGCCGACGGATTTTATGCTCTTATCTCAGTCGAAACAGTGAACAAGCTACTACAGGTACTTGAGGAAAGAGAGATCCACCTATTTAACTCTGATTAGATGGTGCCATCGCAGGAAATGATGGAGCCGAAATACTTAAACTGTTCGGCTCGCAGTGTTGCTACCCCTCTGTTCTATCAGTAGATCAGCTATACTGGATGGGTTCCTCAAAACGCTGGACTCATAACGCTTGCGCTAAGGCAGATGCTATGTAAGCCGAAGATAAGAACATCAGATCATTGGCTTAAATTGGAAGTTGGCTGTTTGAAGCTGATCACTTTCGTGCAATATTTACTTGATTCGCCTTGTGATTTATAATATTCTAACGTGATGACAAAGAACAGATAACAAACAAATACAGTAACTAACCGAACCTCAGCTACTACCTGGAATTCCAGTCGTGCAAATACGATCTGTGGAAACTGCCTATCTATCGAAATCCGAAGGACTTAAAAGTGGCCTAGACTGTGGAAGAAATAGAATATTCGATGATAAACTGTTGGTTTCTGATTAAAGAGAGACAACCTCCCATAATCAGAAGCATGGTTAGCCATCACAGAACATTCTTAACAGTAACAAGTGCCACATCGGTCACGTTTTGTTCATTAACAGAAACGCATACGAAAGATCCTAAAAAGCCTACTTTGCAGGCACAAGCTGATACTAATTGAACTCGACGTGGCCAAAACTATAAATCAGCCACACTGGCATGTGATCCTTAAGTAATATACATCTATGCAGTCAAAAAAAATACCAAGAACAAAAATTTCGAACTGGGGCCTCCATCGATTGATAAGATGCGCACGGAGCACGGGAATCAAGCCACCGACATGTTCATAACACAGTTCCCAGCCCTGTTGACCTTTTGACAGCGGTCGAATTGTGCAGTAGTAACGGAAGGCCACCTCTGTGCACACGGTTTGATAGATGGAATTCGTTTCGGGCACCTGGCCCTGCAAGAACAAAGGAATATAAAAAAAGTGCCATGATCGCATAAATAAATAACTAGCTGCAACACGCCGGGTATACCACAATAATAGTGATGTGCGGGACAGTAAAGAAGCATTGAGCGACTTTCAGTTAGCCAAGATAGATTCAAAGACACTGAATTTATGAGCAAAAACTTTCGGAACGTTCAGTTAATCTATAACATGTGACAGCGAAAACAGATCACTAGTGTTCATGAAGTTTTCTGCAAATATTAATAGATACAGGTATTTATACGCACATCCTCTCGATAAGGTCCCTCAGTGTGCTCTGCAGATAAATAAAGTGCGATTGAGGTAGTTTATCTCAGGGTAGCAACAAAAGACATCAGACAAGACATAGAAACAGACACAATTCGGTCATGCAAGTCCAGTAATGCGGGAGCCAAATCGTTTGCAGTAAAGAAGAAAAACCTGAGCAGTAGTTAAAAGCAGTTAAAACATCTGTCTTCAAGCCGGCCTGCACCAAACTTCATCTATGATTATGAGTGCATGGCACACAGATTTTCCTACGACGGACAGCTTGTGTAGGAGAAAGAACATGATTGAGAACATAAAAATCACTTAGAGAAACGCATACGTGTGAGCCACTCCATCTTCAAATCAAAGAATCACAATCGCGTTGTTTGGACATGCCTACGAGAATGATAAGAGAAGAAGTTCACAAAACGAACTCCTTCCGCAAAACCGCAAGGCAGGTTCACAGAGGACGACCGCAAAGGCTCCAGTATATCCAACATCTGACTTTGCTGCTCTTTGGAATTCAGCGAACGGACCTCCGGAAGAGATGAAAAGTCTCCACATCAAAACCCAGCAATGCAGAAGTTGGGCCGTAAAAATACACCCTGGAAGTGTGGATTAGCAAAAAAAGTGGAAACAGAAAAACAGCTAAATCTGTAACCGCCGCCTTATCATTTTTTTCATGACGAATGCGGTTTGAACTATCCTTCTTTAACTAAACATTTGGCGTGGCACTGTCTTTGCTCAATGTCATCAGTCAGCAGAGCCTTATCTGTGAAGGCAACATCTGCAGCTAGTAGGCAACGTAGCCTGCAATTTTCAACGTCCTCCCCACACAGTATTACTCGATCATTCATTTCAGAAGAACGGAAGATGAAAATAAAAAATTGTAAAATGATTTGTGCAGTTAAATGAAACATTAAGTTGATGCATTCTTGGCAGTTTTTTACCCTCGCAAAAACCTTTAGAGCTGAAAGGAGAACCAGAGCTTCTTGAAGCCCTTGGGATATTCCTTGAGAAATCTTAAACACCTATATTAATATTCGCATTTCTATGTAGTTTCTACGATACTGATGGTCCAACTGCAACAGATGCTTTTGGAAAGCTTTCCAATCTTATCTCAACGTAGCTACAACTTCATGTGCATTAACAAAGCACAGGAAAGCAGAAAAATTGAACAGCGTCTGATAGAGTTGCGGCTGATCAGACGATCAGACAACAAACATAAACGACAGCGAGGCTATGCTTGATTTAAGGCTATTTATTTACATCAAACAATGCTTTAAACTAAAGAAATGAAATGGTTTACAATAACCTTCTATTTTACCTATATGTCTTACCTTAAAATTAACAGTTAAATTTCGAATCATTAGAATAAAACTCTGATTGCTACTACTGTAGACAAAGTAGGGCTTCAAATCAACTGAGTAAAAACGAAAGTGATGAGGTAGGCACAAGGGAAAATGGCAATATGTTTCATTCCCTTGAAAACTAGATTACCGGAACCAATCGCTTCAAATACCTAAACAGTAATTATCAAAGGCGAAAGGAATTTCTAGTGTTTGTCAAGACTTGAAATAGTTGTTAGTAATACTGAAATACGGCACAAAAACAGTTTATTTAAATATATCGTTAAGGCGTTAATCTATCAAGCGATAAGCCAACCACTGTAATTCAACTGACACCTGTTTCGCGTTGTTTAAATAAACCATTTTATGCTGCATTTCTGGAGCAGAGAAATTATTTGGAAACGTTGCAAAAATATTTTGTCAATAAAGAGCATTATTTACAGGAAAAGTCAACAACTCCATGTCCTCAGTCAGTAAAATTCTCATTTGTAGCTTAGCGATAGTTACTTTGTTAAAAAATATATGCCATTTTAGCGTTTTCCTGCAGTTTTCAGAGCACTATTTTAAAGGTTCCCCAGCATTACAGAGTAACAAACTATGAGGCATTGTGCGCAACAAAATTGCATTACAAGTAACGTTCTTCGAAAAGAAATTAATCTCATGCTTCGACAGAACTATGAAATAATGCGTGATACAAATGATTACTGCATTCTACAAGAACGCAACCACGGAACTCGCTGCCCCGGAAGCAAACATTAAACATAAAGAAGCATTCTCCAGGAAGAGATAGAACCTCTTCACATTCTTTGCCGAAACGGTGAAGTTTGCTTTAAAGCAAACGTCTCCGCCCTTCCTCAAGTGGACATCATACATTTAAGCCATAAGTTCCGCAAAGGACAGGTGCACACGAAAAACGAACGTGTAGGCGGAAAGTGGTACCGCACTTTATACGAATACCAAACCATGAACACCGTGGTGCATTAACTACTGCTCGTTTACTTGCAGCACATGGGTATTCAGACTATGCACGAGACTGCGGCCATTCAGCGGAATCGGCAGACATTTAACGCGTTCGTTGCATTTGCCAACGGCCAGCCAAACGAGGTAGGAGACGGTCAACTGCAAGGATGGTATATGCCAAACGATGCGAGCCGTATGCACGTTGCCTCCAGCAGCGACAAAAATGTACGAGTCGTTCAGTGCCCAAGTGAACGCGGTAACTTTCACCTAAATCGGCAACGAATATGAATTGGGTTTAAACACAGATTCAACAATGCCAGAAACCAGAATCTAGTTCTGAATTTAAAAAACAGAAATCCAATGCGAGACTGGATCCAGTTTTTAACGAATCGCATAAGGGTACCAGTAATCTGGCAACTACTTTATCTTCCTGACCAATATGCTCTAGTTGGAATTTGACCATCAAACTAACTTTCTCAACTACTCATGGCATTCCATCTGAAATACATCTTGCAATATTTAATAATCATTTCGTCTGTATAAAACTTTTGCACTCTATTTTTAAACCGGACAAAAGAAAGTCCTGCTGAGACATCTCCTTCAGCTTATCCTCAAACCAAATGTCACTTCCTTTGCATAAATATTTTATTCACCAATATTCTGAAGCAGATAGCATGGTGAATATCAAGTAACAAAATAGAAAAATTGTGCTACATTTCTCGTTGCCCTCTTCCAATGTAATGCCTATAGCTCTATCATACTTTTAGTTTCGAAAAAGTCACAGCACAACTAAATATTGAAGTCCCAAACTCACATCATTTGCCAGCTGGTTGCAAAATTTATGAAACAAAATACGATTCACAGCAGCTTTATTAGTTAAGGATATAAGTTGTGGCAATGAAACAAGTTATAACATAGGCTAAAGTATATTGCAACTGTAAAAGCATAAGCATCACGAAGCTTGGACAAAGGCCTCGCAAACAGCATAATCACGCCAAAGCAGTACGATGTTCCTATCTCGGCCATTTGCAGGTCATCGACTTGCTATCCGGCTCTTGGCTGGTTACACTGAAGTACAGTAGGGTGAAACCTTTGCTCAATGCTTTTAGTGGTTAATATGAATATTCGACGCCGCGTTTAGAGTCAAGTATCTACTTTTAGCATGCAAAGCGAAACGAACTTTCCTCCACTGCCCCTATTAAACTTTGCCTTATTAAGCAACTCGAATGAAGCAGAACAAAACTACAGAAGAATCTCATTGAATGAAACAGATGAAGCTTAGGGTGAAACCCATATGGTCTCACTAAACCTGTAACAGGCTCATGAACGAGCACTAAAATAATATAACAAACATATAGGCTAATCGAAGACTTATACTAGCCAACATTTCACATGAATGGTTACGATGATAGACTTCTATTCCATCATTTACTTATCCAAAACTGTAACTGGTACTCCGCCCCTTACTCGTTATATTATTTCCAATACTTTGAAACAGAACATTTTCCTCTACCTTAAACACCAATTAATCAAACGGGATTAAAAGTTTGTTGTAAGAAAAGCACCGCTTTCCGCAATAGAGTATGCTGGGAACACAAAACAACAACAGACCTCGACAAAAACTAGGCTGTTTGCCCCACTAATTGTCATGATTGCAACGCTTGCAATGATAGTAATGAACGGCAGACAAAAACTCGCAAAAAACATAGCAGCTTTCAACCTTTTACAGTTGAAGACCACTCTACAACGGTAAAGCTTGCCACGACAACCTGTATATCATTAATGGCGGACAGATCAGAATCTTAGACCTGAACGCATTGACAGAACTACTGTTTAAATCTTAAAAAAAATTCGCTTTCATAAAAGTCTTTTAGTGTTGACAACAGTAATGATGAAATCAGACAATAAAGCTTCTCATTCAGCTGAAACTTCATAGTAATAAACTGACTACACAGCTATCTGTTCTCTGTTTATTTTCTCTTTTTTTTCAGCTCGCATTGTTTAATTTTAGCATGTTTTTTCTCTACTGGTGTACCCATGAACTACCCACCTCGATGTTCGCCTTCGATGTAACTCAGGCACATTACATTTCTTTGTCCAAATTCAACTGTCACGCTGAAAAAGGAACAGCGTGCCAGGGTTAGAAAAATTCCGCGGTAAATAAACTTGTTACTAGTTTCTGAGCTACATATCATTTCAATGCATGTTGCTTATCGAAGAAATGCATAAGGAATGCCGCAAAACTTACAAGTAAATGCGGCGAAATAGAAAATAACCTGTTTGGGTGCATGTTACCATCGACAAAGCTAACGGCGCTTAAACAACAACGTTGTACAGTTTTATGATACCAATCAGTTTGAAGGTTTGGCTCAAATTTATATCAGGCATTAATCATGTTCAGGCAGATTTTCATTAAGGATCAGTTCAGTTTCTATATCCCGCGATCACAGATATGCAAGCTACTGAACACAAAAAACAGCTCCATTTTGCGGTCTATGACCATTCGGTGCCGATCGATAGTTGTTAACAACGTGCAGTCTTCTGGCGCGAGTTTGAATATATATGATTTGACTGTAACATACAATCACCTCAATCAACTGTAATATCCAACTCACTATCCATATATATGTATATATGTAACTTTGGAAAGAAGCAAATAATAAAAATGTTCTAGCACATCGCAATGTTCTTGCGCAGTTATAGCGTGGAATCATGATATGAAACAGAAATATTGGAAATTCATCAATTTGACAATGGATTCGTCTTTTACTCTCAACGGGTTTGCCACTGATATGCAACATGACAATGTAAGACGCAACGGTCATCAAGTTAGGCATAATGAAGTTGTATAACTCGAAATTAATGACTCGTTTAATCCCACCGTCATAAAACAAAACTGTAATTCACTAATTTAACAGATATTTAGTATTGTACTCACCGAGAGATATATAAATAATGAACATCTGCTGAAAGACAGTCAAACTGGCGACCGAAATCTTAGAAATTCAGTAGTTTGACGAAAGTTTCTTACTGTACTCAAGGAGAGCTTCTAATGGAGACGTAATACGGTGGATTAGATGGAACAACTCATCGCGATGACTACATTTTAATGATGTAGATCTAAACTCCAGCCACAACAGGTTCACAATGACTATCGATCGGCGCCGAAACGGCTCCCGCCAAATCGTCCCAAACCGTCTATTTTGCACGCTATATGCTGAAGAAGTAATACTGAATAACGAAAGCGGAGAATGTTATAAACGAAAGACAGACTGCAAAGGTTTGTTCCACAAAGATGGGAGTTATTTCAGGCAAAGCCGGACAGAATACATGACTACCCGATACAACAAACACAGAAGAAACGTCAGTGAATTAGTGAAAGTGGAAGATAACTTGCTGCTGAAAACGCAATCACTGAACTACTTTGTTTCCATCGTACAAGTTAAGCGGGAAATGGCCGGCGAATTAAAAAATCGATCGCAAAAGGCCTGGATTAAATGCAGAGGCCAGCGGCGTGTTTAAACAAGAAAATGATCACCAAGCGAAAGGAAGGAGCAAACAGCACAGCAGGAAAACTATTACTGGGAATAAAACAGAAATTTGGGTTACCCTGGAAACATAACAACAGCTGTACTCCGACCACTGAGCAACAACTGAAAGTAGTAAACTCTTAAATTTTGACTCTTGGTCATTTAGATAGCTTTGATCACTTAAGCTGTCAACAGTTACCTTAACTCGTTCCGGAATGCGACTGGAATATATCTGATTGCCCTTATAGTTATATATTACAATGTATAAGCCGCTGCTGCCCCCGACATTACTGGAACCAGCAACAGCAAGGTAAACACCGTTCGACGACCACTGAAGCTGGGAAACTGAAACGAAAAATAAAACGAAGTTTGAGAGCTGAATAATAATAGCAACGTTACCTTCTATCTTCGGATTAAGCATAACGGGATCACAATCATCACAGCCATTCATTAAATAAATGCAGCCGTCCGCAAACAACAAGCTCACAGTGTACCGGCCGACGCCTAACAAAAACACAACACCTCGTTATTCAATCACCACAGCGAATACAGCGTGTCAAAACGAGTAAACAAAAATGCTTTCTCTAAATAAAGCACTGACAAAAAACAGGCCAAATGTGCATTACGCTCGCCCATTTCTCCGTTCTTCCAAATCAGTGACTTCACCAATCTGCGATCTATACACTGATATAAATGGTTTATTACAAACTGAAGTCCCTTTATATTCCCAATGCAGAAAAGTTCACACTCCATTCCGATTCACTGCGACGTAAAACAGGCATGCTATTCGTGAGTAACATTTTTTCGAACATTTCATCGAAATGAAACTGTAATCAATGCGCTGCTGCAATTACAATGCGTCCGAATACCCTACAGTAATGTCTAACCTGAAGTCTTACAACAGAGCCGAATGCGTCCGTCCTCTTCGTAGCTGGACCGCGACGTCTGTTTCGTTGAATAGTTTATAAATGTTTCATACATAATGCATCAGGCTGTTGGGGGACTGAGGCAGACTGCGAAAAGTCAGCGATCAGAACCTGCTCATTGCCCTTTGCCAGCCGGGAGCGTAGCAGCACAACAACGGCTGAAGAACGACGGAACGACGACGAAGATACCAGTCAGCAACAGAGACTCTACCCGCTCCGAACAGAGGAGGCAGATAATACGATGCCATTACAGGACGTAAAAAAGTTCCCCCCCCCCGCTCTACGAGAACAATACCACCAGTGGGAGCTTAAAGTCGGAAACTGGAACATATCCTCAGTGAGAGGAAAAGAGCATGAATTAGTTGATGAGGCCACGAAGTACCAACTCGACATTGTTGGACTCTCGTCAACAAAACGCCCAGGCTCTGGCCTCCTGAACCTCAATGGATGGAAGCTGCTCCACTCAGGCGTCGATATCACGACTCGCGCTCAGGCCGGTGTTGGCATTCTGGTAGAACGCAACCTTGCCGACAGAATTATCGATTGGAAGCCTGTCAATGGAAGGGCCTATCTTCCGACTGAAGCTACAACAGGCTAAATCGATGACCTTGGTACAGGTCTTGCGCCCAATTTGGAAGGAGAATATGATACCTTCCTTGAGGAAGTGCAGTGTGCTGTCTGAAGTGCCGAATACAGAGTCCCTCATACTGACGGGCGATTTTAATGCGCACGTCGGAGTAGACG